ATCGCGAGGGAGAAAGTAAGGTTTTTTTTTTTGAATGTGCACCTGCTCAAGCATGCCCGAGAGCCAAGTTCAGAAAATTTCAACACTCTGGTTACCTTAATTGCGGGGCTACGTTAAACTCCACGTATTCGTATACGAAGAGAAACATGAAAATTTTCTTTTATGCGCACCAGCCGAAAGGCGGCCCTATGCCACGCCCCGAAAATTTCGGTAGTGTAGCTGCCCTGACTGCGGGATTACGTCAGATTCCACGTGTTTGCACATAAAGAGACAACGTGAATGTTCTTATGCGTGGCTGCCCAAACACGTTCCTGGGCGGTATTTGGAAAATTTCAGCACTGCAGCTGCTTTGGTTGCGAAGCTTGTTTTCACATCAACCCGGCCAAACGCCGCCGTTAGCCACGCTCAAAAAGCTTCGGCCCTCTAGTTACATCAACTCCGAAGTTACAAAATTATTTACATCGAATTCTGTGTTTGCGTGAGTGAGATGCAGAGGGATGGAAAGCTCTAATTATTTCCACAGGCACATCATTGGGTGGCAAATAATTCTGCGAAATTAAAACTCTCAACAACTCCTTGCTCAGCTTAATTCTCGAGTTGGCATGATGCCTAAGGATGCTTGAAGGCTTAATTTAAAACCCTTGGGTGGACATGGGCAAGGAACATCTTCGTAAAGCTTGCGCCGGTTGCCTTCTTGTCAAAAAACCTCTGATGCGCCCGTATGTGAAAATGATACGGAAGTGTTAATTTTGTGCATAGGTGTAGATTAAGTTGCCAAAGTTTTAGCCTTGTAGCTTTTGATCTGGAGATGAAAACTCGCTAAAGACGCACAAACAGACATACACGTACACCCACACAACCTGTAGACAATACGCGTTTTTGCACTGCACAGATGCAAAAGACGTGTAAAAACCAGTGAGGAGTGCAAAAACAAAAAGTCGCTCATTATGAGTTTTTTGCATCTATGCAATGCAGAAAACAAAAGATTGTCTGTGTGTGTGTCTGTGTGTACACTGGGTGTCTGTACCGATTTTTCATCTCGAGACCTAAAATACCTACAGGGTTGAAACTTTAGGAACTTAATCTACATGCATGTACGGGCCCCATCCCAAAATGGGTGGTCTTATCCGCGTGGTATCCACGCACGGGTCTGTGAAAATGTTTTGCGGATAAGTTGCTAACTCGGAAATCAGAAAAGCCAGAAAGCTGGAATTTTACGGGGATGTTCCTTGACCAAGCAAGTCTTAATGAGCTTCAAACCAGTCCCTGGGTAGGCTTGGTACCCATGTACGGGTCCGCCAAAGTTTTTTTCGGGTAAATTTCTAATTCAGAAACCTGAGAAGCTAGAAGACTGAGATTTTAAGGGAATGTCCCCCCCCCCCCCCCCCCC